GCGCGTTACATCGATCCATCGATCTATTTGCATTCGTTATACGTGTATACATATATAGAAATTATAATTCCTCGAACGCGATATACTGTAATTATGGTACCTCGGTTTATTATAAATAAACAAATGATAAATACGTTCCTTTCTTTTTTTATATATATATAAAAGACGCGTATTCAATTTTCAATATAAGTTTCATCTTCTTTAAAGAGAGGGTAAATATAATGAGTAATAATAATAATCGTTGATAAAAGATGGTAGTTTCTTTCTTTTTATCCTTGATTAAAATCTTGAAAATTTGATGGAATTGAAAGATTTTTCAAAAAAAGGAAATGATTTTAATGGTGCTTCCATTAAATGAAAAATTTTCATCCGACACGTAACCTCGACGTGCTCGACTATTTTCATCTCCGGTTCATCCTAACCCCCTGTACACAGGCAATTTCGCGTGCGCGAGTTTACATATTAATCGTGTTGTTACACTAACAAGTGTTGACTCGTTCCTTTAACGGGGGCTCTCGACGAATGACGCAACGTTCCTCGGGATTGAGCGAGGAAAGAAGAAGAGAGGGTGGCAATGATACGCGAAGAGATGGCTCGAGATTTCGTAGAAGGAGAAGAAAGATATACAAGAAAAAAGAAAACGATGGAAAAGAAGAAGCAAGGATTCCGCAGTATATAGGCCTACCATCATTTTCCTTCTCTCCTCATTTTCCACTACGTTTCTCCTTTTTCTCCTACGCGTCTTTCTTTCCACTTTTGTCTTTGTTTTACCTTCGTTTCTTCTCTTTCTCTCTCTCGAAGCAACCCCGCGGCCCTCTAGCGCGCTCTGCTCCCTTCTAGCGCGCCACCTCTCAACACACGAGGAATAGAAGAGGGATGGACAGAGAGAGAGAGAGAGAGAGAGAGCGAGAGTTGTTCCTCCACCTCTTCTGCGTTCTCCGCGCCCATTGGCGCCCAACAAGCGCACCCGCTTAAGAGATACGCGACAAGCTTATCGACACGGTAAACAAGAACACTTTACTACGACAATATTGGCCGAATGTAAAACCTGTTTGAAAGGCGACATAAAAAACGAATATGTCCGAGTGTCTTCGGTCGCTTCGTCCATACGCTTCTTTCTTCTGCTCTCTCTCTCTCTCTCTCTCTCTCTCGTTCTCGTCCTCATCGTCGCTTTAGTTTTCTATTTTTTTTCTTTTTCTCTCCCTTTTCTTCCTCTTCTTTTCGTCTTTTTTCCTTTTTTTTTTTTAATTTCTTCGCTCCTTCTTCTCGCTACTCTCGTCTTTCCGATTTTTTTTTTTTTTTTTTTTTTTTTTTTTTTTTTTTCCTTCGTTCCGTTGGATGCGCAAAAAGGTCTTGTCTTAGAAAAGAAGAGGCCTTCTTCTGTACCGTGCGCGGGGAACGGAACTGGCGTGGAAACTGGTTTAGAAGTCGTACGTACGCTCGAAAGATTCACGTTTCTCCGAGCAAGGAGAAGGAAGCCGAGGGATTTGTTTTCTCGATGCTAGCTCGATATCTTCGTCTCTATTCATAGTTTTATTCTCTATCGATGCTCTATCGAGGGGGAGGGATATTATACGATTACGAGATTCAATTCAATGATTCTTTGATAAAAATACTATTAATATCTAATAAGAAGGAAAGGAACGTTCGAATCTCCCGCCGAAAAGCGTCGCCAAATGCGCGGGAACACAGTTGTCGCGGGGATCATCGTCCTGGTAACGTCTCCTCCTCCCCCTTCGAAAGCAACGAAGAGAGATAGAGGATAAACAAGGGAGAGGAAGGAAGGAGGAGGAGGAGGAGGAGGAGGAAGAGAGAAATGAGAGAGGAGACACGTTTGCTCGAAGAGACAAAAAGCGCAGCGTCTGAAAACAAAGGTCGAGGAGATTTCCTCTCTCTCTCTCTCTTTCATTACAGCCAGGATCATCGGCCCAGTTACGTCCTTCTTGCCGGTAACCTTGCATCCTTCGTCGACTTTTCCACCTCCTCCTCCTTCGGTGTCATTCCACCTTCTCTCTCTCCTTCTCATCCTTTTCTCTTTTTTTTTTTTTTTTTTTTTTTTTTCCCTCCCGTACTTCGCGAGAGCCTACTACTGGCTCGCGCTCCCCGCTCCCTGCCCCGATAGGCAAAAATTGTAGCAACCTGAAAAAGGAGGGAGGGGAGAGGAGAAGTAGGAGCGGGGAGAAAAAAAAGGGGGGAGGGGAAAAAGAGAAGTAGGACCTGCAGCGGCGGAGCCCACGCGAGGGGGAACAGGAGCAGGAGGGGAGAGGCAGAAAAAGAAAAAGGAAAAAAAGGGGGAAAAAAAACAAGAAAGAAAGAAAGAAAGAAAGAAAGAAAAGTCCAACAGACGTGGAACAGAAAAAGCAGAAAGAACGAGGGAAGCGGCGGTGCGGAGTGCAGAGAGCGGGGAAGTAAGAGAGAAAGAGAGAGAGGAAACGCTAGGAGAGACACACGCTGCAAACAATGGCAGCGCGTGCAGCCAGCAGTTTCTTTCTCTTTTGCCCGCTTCCATCCTCCTCTCTTTCTTCCTCTTCGATCTTCCTCCCCTCCTCCTCGCTCCTTCTCTCTTACGCACACGCACGTGTGCACGGCTCTTCGCCTCTCTCTCTCTCCCCTTCACGTTTCCTCTCCCCTCGTACCATCCTTTCCTCCATCTCTCGCTCCGTCTATTTATCCGTCTGTCCTTCTCTCCGCTCGCCTCGCTCCCTCTCCCTTTCTCCCGCGCTCTCTTCGTTCCACGAGCAACAGTAATATCTACAGTTGTAGAGACGTGCGGCAGCAGCCCGACGCTAGAACGCGCGCGAGCAACGGAGAGAACGTCGAGCGGGAGAAGGAGAGAGGGGGTGGGAGAAAGAGCGGGAGGAGGCGAGAGCGAGAGGGAAGGATGTGTTGCAGAGGAGGAAAGAAGGGAGAAAGAGAAGGACGGAGGAAGACAACGACAAGAGAGAGGAAGGGCGGAACAGGTTCCTGCCGTGTTGGGTTGGGTTGCCGGAGGGTGCGGGGATCCGAGCTGGAACGAACGGGGGCCGAGGGGAGGGCGGAGGAGAACTGGAATCCTGAGTAGCAACGGCGTAGCCGCGAACCAACGAACCTGGGCTCAACCTTAAAGCGATGGATCACTTTTGGTCACCGATCTCCGCACACTTGGCCACCGGTTCCCACTCACTAGCTACCCGGAGAACAACGCTATTTTCCTCGTGGATCGGCCGAAAACATATATATATATATATATACATCTTCTATCGAACGAATAATAAAATTTAAACAATTCGATAAATAATATACGAATGCTAAGTGATATATTCGATTTATCAAATTTTCAAATTGGGGAATTTATCTGTTTCGTGAGTAAGATGCGTCGATATATTGAATCGCGCGAAACGTAAGTCAAGATGACCGAAAACATTGTACGAATAATGTATACGTATAAGGATGCCATAGGGATTTTTCGTCTCGCGCGTGTTTCTCTCGCAATTAGGATGGACGCGTCTTCGTCCTCCCTAAGATCGAAGCAGTGATCTTCGCGATCGTACTTTGGTCGAATGACGTAGCTGTTTATAGAAATGGGTGTTTCCTGGACGAAACGATACCGCGTGAAACTTGGCGATTAGCGTGGAAAGGGATTCCAAGGCGTGTCTTCGGATTAATCGATCAAAACGTGGCAAGTTCGATTGAAATCCGGTAATTCCTTTCTTGCACGCCGCTACTTGGGATAAATGGGGGGAGGGGAGGATCGAGGATGGTCCGTCAGGGGGAAACCTGTTTGCTAATCTGCAACTAACAACAAACGATCGGTTTTGAAGTTTCTTGAGTTTCTCGATCTATCAGGGCCTCCTCCTCCTCTTCCCCGCTTCATCGATTTTTCGATAGTTGCCCGCTCTTGTTCGCGTTCGTCTAACCGAATTATTCGTCCCGGTATAAACCCCCTTGGATCGCGAATACTTGCGCAAGGTAAGTACGTAACAAGTATTTCAATAACGGAGTGGTGAAGGCGAATCTGCGGGAGAAATCGACGATGACGAGCGAAACCGATGCGGTTGCGAATTCGCCAAAACTCGGATGAAAGAGTAACGAAAGTAGCGTCAACGGTGTCCACATGTTGTGTGCTATACGCCGCAAAAACCGTACCACCTTTTTTTTTCATCGTTTGTTACCGAGAGGAGATTAAAGAGGATCGAAAAAGTTGCGCGAACCGGCGATAAAATCGTAAAAAATCACGTGTGTAATACCTATCTAGTGATATATTCCAAAGTCCCTAGAAAGAGCGGCGGCATAATCGTTCCACTAGACGAAACTGTTGATTGACCCCCCCCTCCCCTTATCCACCGACAAGGAAAAGTTTTACGCGCGATAAAGTCCGGTGATCCGATTAATACGTAATTGGTTAAGTTTCGACACCGTGAGTTTCCATCAGAAATTAGTAATAGCAACTTTTCGGGTCCCATCAAAATTCTNGCGTGCAAAGCGTCACTCTGTCCCCATATGATCCGATTAAAACCT